TAATAAATAATTCAAAAGATAAACTTTATTGAAGCGATAAATTATAATAGACGCGAGATTGATTAATGGACGAATCAAACGACTCCAGATTGTGATTCTATTGTTCCGAATAATTACGACAAACTCATTATACAAAACGAAATGTTTTAATAGTATAAAATAAATATGATCATAAAATTCTTAAAAGCTCAGGAGATCGAAAGGCTTGATTTAGGTATCCTTAATTTATGATGATTAAAGGAAAGGAACTATTAAAAAAAAACAACAACAACAACAAAATAAAAAAAAAAGAAAAAAAAAAAAGAAAAACGCTATAAAACAAAAAAAAAACAAAAAAAAAAAGAAAAACAAAAGAGGGGAAGGAAAAAGCAAATGAATAGAGAAAGAATCGCTAATACAATAATTTGGCGGCGAACAAAACGCTTTTTGCAGGCAATCGCTTTGAATTGGATGGCGTATACAGTCATAACAATAAGCCTTTTTTCCTTCATCTTATACACAATCCCATACAATTGATTACCAATGACCAATAAATTAAAAGTCCCCTTGACTCGTATCCTATAATTTCCGCTAAACGGACGGTATATCATGAGCGAGGGAAAAATTAACGGAATAAAAATTAAAAGCAAATGAAAAAGAAAAATGTTATTATTCATTCGCGTATATATAAATCATTGTAATGTCGTGCACAAAGGTACACGTGCAATGCAGTATTTCTACTGAGCACATTTGCGCACAATAATGAAAGTAGTGACAGTACTCAAGTAGTCGGCCGGCATACAAGCACTCTCTTGCATCCGCTAATCTCTCAGTCGAGTATGTAAAGAGTTCCCTCTCTCTGCTCTTTTTCTCTCTCACTCACTCACTCTCTCTCTCTCTCTATCTCTCTACTAGTACTACCATGCGCTACCCGTTCTCTTTGGAATGTTTAACCCCGTTGATCCCGTCGACGGGATGTATCCTTTTTTTTTTCTTTTACATCAAGCCATAAGATCGAAGCGCCATACGAACTCTTAGATTTTTTCTCCCCTTACGCTTATCGAGTTAATTATATCTTTCCTCTCTCTCTCTCTCTCTCTCTCTCTCTCTCTCTCTCTCTCTCTCTCTCTCTCCCTCTATCTGACATATATGTGTATTCTAACCTTTTTTGACTATCTACCTTCATTGATTGTTTTATTATATTTTTTCGCTTTTTTTTTTAAATTTTTTTTTCTTTTTTTGTTTTTCTTTGTAATGTATTTTTTGAAGCTACATTAGTCATTGCATGCATCTCACTTTATCTACAAGAAATAAATCGAGTTAAGACGCAGATATTTGATGGCTATTCTATCAACTGTTTTCTCTACTTTGAGTAGTTCTTTGTTAAAATCGAAATGGAATTTTCGTCATGCTTTTTCATACCACAAGCCTATCTTTACTTATATGCATCAGGTTATATATATTTTTTAAGATTTTTCATTTAGAATTCTATCCAATTTATGTAGAAATAAAAAATTTAATTATTTACGGTATTTTTCTTAATAATTGAATAGCACGTATATATTATGGTTTTTTCTTTTTTTTTTTTTTTTTTTTTCCAGAAAGTATCAGTTTACTAATATTTTCGTTGGCCAATCCATGAATTTCAATTTAATTTATAATTTTATATTATCGAAAATTTTAAATAAATAATTTTATCAGAAGGTACTAATACACGAAGTAATTAATATTATATACTTTTGATTTGTAAGTAATATGAACTATTATATGATATATTACAATTATATCTTTATCGTGTATTTTGATGAGGTCTTGTATCTTTTGTAGAGTTAACAAATCTATAGTTAAGTTAATTCGAGAATACACTTTCAAGGCTTCTGAAGCATGCATCTCAAAGAATTTTTCAAGATAGAATTGGAAAGAAGAAAGTATAAAGCAAAATGCTACAATAACCGAGGCTTTTAAAATCGAAACTTAATCCTATAGTTTGTTATTTTGTTTTTTCGTTTTTTTGTTTTTTTGTTTTTTGTTTTTTTGTTTTGTTTTTTTTTTTTGTTTTTTTTTTGTTTTTTTTTTTTTTTTTTTTTTTTTTTTTTTGTTTTTTTTTGTTTTTGTGTTTTTTGTTTTTTTTTTTCTTTTTAATCGACACGAACAATGAAACTTGTCATTCATCTTTATTGTATAAAATTAAAAAGCTTATGTAATTTAAATCTATGTTATCCTGTAGAGACTATGGATATTTAGGAAATGTATATCTCTATAGAAACTTTCCAATAAAACGAGAATAAGAAAATTAACATTTTGAGAAAAATATTTTCACACTCAATTGGATTAAGAAATATTTCATACCATTTTCGATTTATTTTCTTTGATTCATTTGCATAAAATATTTAATAATTAAATGAAGAAAATATCATAAGCTACTAATGGCATCACATTTCAAATGCTCTGAATTAGATTCTAAAGTCTTTTAGTTACCAATATTTCTTCAATAATTTAACCATAATCTTTAACAATTATAATTAATATTATATATTAGACAATTAATTAATTGCTTCAATCGACTAGCTGTATTTTGTTTTTATTAAAAACGGTTCATTTTATATTACAAATAGTCAATTTAATCAAATCGAAATGCCAGAGTGTTCCGTTATTATTAATTGAATATTTATAGGTGAAATTCCATATATAAACATTAACATAAGAGTTAATCTCTTAAAGATGCAAGGATGGTATCTCACATTTATATAAATACATTAAAAACAAAAATGCTAAAGGATTCACATGTTGCGCGTCGTAATTTTAGTACCGTACGCGTAATGCGTAAAAATCATTCAAATATTAAGAACGAGATTCTACAGGTATGGCCGCGGGCATACATTTGCTCTCTGTTTTCCCGCCCCGTGTCACTCAATCAACACTACATAACAATTGATGGAGCGACTGACTCCGGGGTGAATTGAAATTAGAGGAAACGAAGAACATTAGGACGCACAGGAGGATTAAAGCGACCACATACATTTATAGTACATATAGCATGTTCTCTAGGAAAAATTATTACAGTTCCTTATTTCAACTTGGCAGTTCCCTAACAATTCAATTATTCATTTTATGGTCAATTTGATCGATTATGTATCTGTAGTCTCATTCGATTAAATATCGAATAAACAAAGCGTTGACATATTTTAATATACACAAAATTAAGAAAAAACTAACTATTTTTTTTCTTTTAACTCCTCTTCATTACGTATAATATAAATTTGCGCACAGATAAGTAAGATGGCAAATCAATTGTCCAAGTTTTTCAAACGAATCTATTATTTTACTAGACTGATGAATTTTTTTTTTTTTTAAATCGTCTCTATGCATATTTTCACATGCGATTACGATTCCATAATAAATACTTTTTAAGTTTTAAAGGATTATAAATTATTTTTATTACTTAATAGAATAATAATTTTTGCTAGTCTCAAGGACTTTATTTCCATAATTTATAGGATATTTTAGTACTACCTACACAATTTTTCCAGCACATCCGACATTCATGAAATACGGCACTAATTATACGAAAGCAGAGATCCTTTTAATGCAATATTTTTTGTACACGCGAACATGATATTTAATGACGTTGACTCACGATCATTAACGTCATACTTTAGAAAAATCCAAACGAAAGCAAATTTACTTGGAAAATGTCTGCACTACTTTTTATGCACGCAGAAAACGCCTTGTATGTACATAGCATAAGCGCACGCGAGCGTGAGCACGCGCATACATATAAATAAGCAGGTATAGCCTATTCGAAAATGAACCATAAAGAAATTTCTTATTGGATATCGCAGCGCAGGGAATTAATAACAACTTTCGACTTTCCATTTGAAGGAAACTTCATTTTTCCTGTTGCATCCTGTTAATCCAACACATCATTTTCTTCGTTCGGCGTGTAAAGTGTTGGCAGCGAAGCGTTCGTCCAACAGGGAAGTGGGTGCAAATAGGTGGTAGTCTAGGGGGATGGGTATTGGGTGTTGTCGGCCGAGGGGGAGGGCAGAGTGAGGGATGGAGGCTAGCTGGTAGTCCAGTCGTGGCGTAGCACGTTGGCCGTAACGAACTTTGCTATTGCGCTGGAGCCGAGAGCACGAGTCAGCGGCCGTGGCAAGCGGGTAAAAAGCCGACTCCACGTACGAGGGAGCAAAAAGAAAAAGCGTTCGGACGTTTTTCCAAAGTGGCCGTGGAGTTGCCTGGCTAAGCAGCGCCGCGAACGCGTAAACAGGTGCTTGGCGCGAACGTTCGCGCGAAATGAAAGGGTGCGGGTTGGCGGTACGGGGGGGATGGGGGACGCGCGCACGTATGTGCGCCGGGGTCAGAAGGTGGGGGAGGCCATGAAAAGGCGAGAGCCACCTCGCGCTCCTCATCGAGTGGGAAATTAGATTCAGTTATGGCGGAGGCGAGGCCGCGTTCGAGGAAGCCGTGTGGCAGCCTCCGCAAATTGCCCTCGGAGAGAAATTGAAAATTTCAGGGACTTTTACGACGATTCGTACCTTTGCCATTGCCGAACGGACCTTGAATGTTTCGTTAATGCTCGTGGTAGTGCCGAGTGGCGCTAGCCGAGGATTCTTGCTTCCTCGGTTTTTTTTTTTTTCATGCGATACGTCTGTGTCCGTCGAGGGACTGTTCCTTCGAAAGAGACGAGGATGAGTAACGTAATAACTTCCGATTCCAATGCGTTGGGCTTTGGCATTTAATTGTTATTTTTATGATAGCCTGTCCACACCTATCTGTCTCCATATTCGTGCGATATTTATATTCTTTTCCTGTATTTTAATGCTCGTGCACACAATGTTATTAGCGCGTCAATTACCGCGATTACAATTTAAATTTCATTTCAAATGATTTACTTGTCATAAGTAGAGCCTCCGTTAATGGCGCACATTTAAGAAAATGCTTATGCTATCGTCATGTTATTTAATGTATTCCTATTGATAACTGGCGGTTTGACAATTATTTAATTGATAATCGCCTACCTTGAGAGTGTTCTCGTCGTCATTCGACGTTTCAGCCCTTTGTTCAGAACCAGAAACAACCTCGGCTTCCGTTCTTCGTGTTCCGAATCCGCTGGAATTACTCCAAGAATATCTTTGTTTCAGATCTCCTGTAATAATAAATAAGGTTCTGGATAATCCATATTGTTTATAGACTTATGAATTAATAAGCTTTAACAATATTGTATTTAATGTTTGGAAAGAAAAGTTTTATTTCAAATATATTACAATCATTTATCTATCGTATAAATTAGGATATCGAATAATTTTAGAACAATAGTAAAGTTAATTTTTTTTTTTTTTTTTTTTTTTTTTTATTTTTTTTTAAAAATCGTCAATAATTAACGGGAGATATTTGAATAAATATTTTATAAATATTGAAATATTTATAAAAATATATTAAATCATTCAATATTAACAATACTTAATTATGATGTTTAATTTTAGAAATTATGAATTCATTCTCATCATCGTCGTCGTCGTCATGATCCTCCTCATTATCATCATTATTTGCAAATCTCAATAAAGTTTGCTTATAAATAAAAGTAAAATGTAATACTTCATTCAAATTTCAATGTAAGAAGACAGTATTAAAATTGATTATATATACTTTCTGTATTAAGCAAATTAGCCATTTATGCTTACAAACAAGTAACTGACTTATAGCCACTGAGATCCATTAATATTTATCATTTTAACGCAGCATATATCATGAAACCACCGACAACTTCAGGTTCACGTTCATTATATCCGAGGTGCCATCTGGAATGTTGTCTAGATAAATTTCACACGTATAATGTAAAGGACCAAAGAAACTAAAAATTATGAAAAATATAATGCAGTTTTATTATCCATAAGGCATTGATTATCTTAAAGTTCCAAGTTAATTCGGTCACGTTTAACATCACAAGCTCTCTAAACTTGTCTAACAAAACTGGTTGCTGTACCACTTTTTACACAAGTTGCGTGGAAAACTTTCGCCACCAACCGTCGATGATTCAACATCGCGTGATAATGTTGCAGAACTCCACTGTAGCAACCAGTAATTTGTTACTTTTTGCAGAAAGTAAATTTTTATCAAGCTATGCATGTGTCTTCATCACACCGAAATCAAATTTTTCTATACCCAATGGAATTTTAAAAACCTCGAAAATGATATATCACGACATAGTAACATTATATTTATATAATTAAAAATAAAAGTAAAAGCACATATTAAAATGAGGATAGTTGGAACGAAAGTTTTATACAAGTACTAATTATTTTTAAATATGTAATCAAGCGTAAATAAAGCATCAAAATAAAAATTCGATTTATTAAAAAATTTACGAGAATATTAAGATTAAAATTTTTAATCTTCACAAATGGCTATTATAAAGAAATTATGAAATATTATTAAAAAATTTTGCCCGTCAAATAAACGTGTTTAAACATTTTTAAAGCTATAAAATTGAAATATTTCTAACATTCAGGAATTTTCTATGTGCTTTTGTTTTTTTTTTTTAAATCATAAAAATATGTTTACTTTGTAATAAACGACGCCGGTCAATCATATTATCATAATAATTATTTAGAAAAATTATAAAGTAATATTTAACAAATTCTTCTGGTACTATTGGAAATTATAATTTCTCTTAAACATTTACTTAATCAATTGATCTACTAATGAGCTCCTTATAGTACAATGAAAATTGTAGAAAATCTTCAATTTACATACTTTGCTCTCTATATAATTACATTTATGTAAAATTAAATTACACGTGAAAAAGAAATTACTACCAACAAATTTACAACACTTTAATGAGCTCTATAGGTTTGAAAAGCTCTAATTGAAGCGCATAAATTTTATAACAAGATATATAATTCCTGATTTCAACATATCACTTTAGTATTAGATTTGAAAAAGAAAAAAAAAACATTTATATTTGCAGTAAACTTGATGCGCGCGTACTTAATGCCCAAACAAATAAGATGTCTATTTTAGTACATATATCAATGTTATTTGTGAATGCAATTTGATAGAGGCAAGCATTACATATCTCATATGAAGTTCAAGGATGGATTCAATAATAACAGCCTTGAAAGGACATTAAACGAGTATAAACGTAAAAGGCCAGTGCGCGGTAGATGGCTTTATCCCAACTGGCATTTTATACGGAAAAAGGTGAAGTTGGTGGATAATAAAGAGAAGAGTTTAGATTCAGGGCATCAACAGATCTTTCTTGCGATGCTGCACACTCAAAACAAGTATCTTCTTAATAATTCATAAGTATATATATATATATATATATATATATATATTTAAAGAATATTTTCATTTTTCACTCTTGCCCCACCACCTCCCGCCACTCTCTCTCTCTCTCTCTCTCTCTCTCTCTCTCATCCCTGTTAAGAGATGACAAGACAACGTCTTACTCGCGGTCATTTTTATAAGCATACTAAGGAAAAAGCGGAATCTCCACTGCGTCTGCTTTATTTGCGCAGCTTCGATGAGCTGACGGAGCCTACGCGACGTGTATCAAGAATATAACACAAAATGGGCATTCGCCCGCATCTCCAAGGCTATCGCATAAAGTCATGTGGAAATTTATGAATTTAAGCTGTACAGTGAATATCAATAAGCACTCCCCCCCCCCCCCAATACAAACCATAAACTACAATTGTATTCACAGTTATTATTGGCTGATTTGTATTCTTTTCTTTCTTGACGAATTTTGTTTCCTTCTGATTCTATGTTTCATTCATTTTTTTTTTTTAAGTCACGCGAAACATTTCGAATAAATTAGGATGTACATTCTCTAAATTTTTATTTAGTACAATAATGTAAATGTAATGCTTATATGGCTATTGGTTGCCAATATTTCTAATCGATTAGCCGATTTTACATAAAATATAAAAATTATTTGATATTCGTATGTTATATTGATTATTAATATTAGATTTTTTCGAATAACAAGATAATTTTTCATTTATACGATTTATACGTAGGGACAATGTGCTTTTCAGACAATTAATATATATATTTTCTTCAATGTGTTAATTAATTTCAGCAACCAAAATCGTATGCGCGTGGAGTTTAATATTACAAAATAAAATTTTGAAATAACTAAAGCGTATGTAGGTAATAACACGGTTAAACTACCTTCTTTAAAAAAAAAAATATTCAATTTTTCTACTTTTTATGTAATATTACACTTACTATCGTACAAATAAACATTAAAAAATTATAGAAATTATAAAATAGGGATAAAATGAAAATCTCATTTGAGTTTAAAATACAGTTACATTTTAGTAAAAGCTGAGAATAAGAAGAATATTCATTTTAAATTGATTGTAAATTTATGCAAAATATTACTCTCTTAGTAAAAATTTGAATGTGTAATACTTTAATTATAATCTTAGTGTTATGATCAAAATAATTGCTTCTAGTTACCGAATGATTAAACGCATGGCTGGGTAAATAGTTTTTGCTCCAGTCCTTTTTTCAGGAAGTGTAGCACTGACAACGCTGATAAATCACTTCTAGAGGATTCGTGCGAGTTGGGCTGCATTTTAGTAATTTATCATCCTACTAATTCACTCTTAAAAATTGCAACTATCTAATGGCGAGTAAACACTGTTTAAAAACACGAATACACAAAATTAATTCGACGACGTTCTCTAAGAATTTACAGCCTTAAAATTTAGAATAGCGTTATGCTAATTTACATTTCATAAAATTATAGCCGTTAATATAATGCTGAAATCTTATTGGAATAGTTAACAAATTACTTACTTCATAATCCTTAAATCAGGTTGTACTTAATATTAACTTAATATACATTATAATAGTGTAATAATAATAATAATAATAATAATAATAATAATAATAATAATAATAATAATAATAATAATAATAATAATAATAATAATAATAATAATATGTTACGATACATTCCAACATTTATATTATCTATAATTGCTTATATTTTTATATTTAAATAATCTTTTTATTATATTAGATTATATAATTCAATAAATAATACAACAACAAAAAGTTAAGAAACAAGCATACGTAGTGGCATAATAGACACGGACTTACTCATGAATTTATTAAACCTAAAAAATCTCTCATCGTTTTATTTTTTATCCTTTCTGAATAAGGCATAACATTATCAGGATTGTAATTTATAAATATTTGGAACAATAAATTAGATATACATTGCGTTTTCGAAACTTTCATACAACTCAATTGAAAAAATACAATTGAAGTAATTAATCGTTGGATTTGTAGATTGTAATATTTGCATGTTTCGTTGAAATACTCATGTTTCCCATGATTTCATTACGAATTAAATGATCTAAATTATATTTATCATAAACGTCATGATTATTTATATAAGGTTAATTATGGTAGTTATATTGTAAAACTTGTTCTTGAAAATTAAATGACTCAAAGATGAGATGTAAACTTTCTGATTATACCATGAAAATTTCACTCGGTATAATTTATTCTTGACGTTAATGAAGTGAAATATGATTCTAGAGCAAGAAAGATTTTCAACATTGGATATTGACGATTGATTTACAATCTAAACAACAATAATAACAACAACAACAGCAGCAGCAACAATACACGAAAGAAAACAAATTAAATTCTTAACAAACAGGAACAAGTTATATAATTAAATGAAGGAGGAGTTTAAAAATTTGTTAACAATATATACGTATAAAGAGTATTTATAGAAACGTTTATATTAACTAAAAAATTTATTAACGGGGTCATTAGGTAATGCCAAACTAGATAAACGTCTTTTCAATCACTCACACGAAGACGTTTTCCCCAAGGTTCCGCAATAATTTCATTATTATTATCATTTTATCACCATTATTACTACTTTCACTACCAATATTACTACTACTACTACTACTACTACTGCTGCTGCTGCTGTTACTCCTATTATTATTATTATTCATTTATTATTATTATTATTATTATTGTTGTTACTAATGCTACTATTACTATTGATAATATTATTGTTATTCGATAACGTCGAGATATGTCAAGAAAGTGCGTTTGTCCTATTTTCTTCCTTTAGTCAATAATTATTTAATGGATACTTACATCGAC